GTGGCCCTGATGCTGACTCTCCACTCTGCTGTCAGGGTGGTGGTCCCAGAGCTGACAAGGCCTTAGCAGGGCTGTTTAATGCCCACCTTGAAATGATTAAAGTTTTGATTGAGTATGTGTTGTAGCATCTTGATGCCTTGTATTCCACAAACASGGGGGCAAGGACAGAGAAGGGGAGATACCCTGGGGTGGGGGGGAGTTGGGCACATGGACATTTACATGGATATTGGGTAGTRAGGTTGGCAGAAAGGCTGTTTACTAAGCAACTCTTTAGGGCTGTAAATATTTTAATTTCATCTTTGCTTTACAGATAAGGAAACTAGTAGTTGAAAAGGGAAAGTGATTCACCCAAGGTCACAGACAAGGCAGTAATGCTGTGGCCTCCCACAGTGTCAGGCAGGGGATGTGGTTTAGAAGACAGACAGACATGACCTAAGCAGAGTACAGTGGTGCAGGCTTGTGGTCCCAGCTACTCGAGAGACTGACGTAGAAGGATTGCTTGAGACCAAGAGTTTGAGACCAGCCTGGGCCACATAGTGAGATCCCATTTCAAATAACATGCCCTGGAATTAATTTAAAAAAAAAACAAAAAAAACCCCTGATCAGCCTCCTGGCTCCTCCACTCATACATTAAAAATTAGAGATTTTGGGAGTGGGAGGTGGGCAGAGGGAGAAGAAGAGATTCACCAGATTGAACAGGGCAGAGTTGGAGGAAGAGAGGAGGAATGAGAATGGGAAAGACAGTAGAACAAATCAGCCATAACTTCCTATGCTCATATATGAATATTCGACTAGTGTAACTCCACATTATGACACCACAAAAATGAGATTATATATGTCAAAATACATTCTACTGTCTGTATAACTAAAAAGAACAAATTTTTAAATATTAGGAACTTCAATGATTATTCTAATTACATGGCAGAGCCTCAATTCAACTGAAGGCTAAAGTCAGAGTCTCATTGTCTCACTCCCAGCTTTTAGCCACAGCACACTCAGGACACCACTTAGGCCATGGCAGTCAAGATATGGGGACCCTGTCTCAGTAAAGTGAAGTGTTGGGACTGAGGTTCTGGATCACCCTCTTATGATGCAGGGTTCATGGAGGGGCACCCCATATCTCCACCAAGGTTTAGAGGAGAACCTGTCCTTCAAGGGGTGATGAATAGCACATAAGGTTCAAGCTGACGAACTTGAAGTCCCAGAAGCCACAGATTAAACATGTGCCTCTTCCTAGAGGACTGGCTTCCGATATTAAGGATCTGGACAGGCAAGGGAAGAAAGTGATTTAAAACATTCTTCTATATTGAAACATTAAAATAGCAGGAAGCCAGTGAAAACCAGCCCTGTTTCTCTAAGGTGAAATGTCTTCACTCAAAACACAGAAGTGTTTATTCACTTGCCATTCCTTAATTGTGGTAGGGAGAGAACTCTGGACCTGCTCTGTGACTTTCCCCTTACAACTCTTCCCCAGAGGAGTGGTGACTAAAAGAGGTTGGTGTTTGCCTCAGGTCACACAATCTGTAAGTGGAAGAGTTGAGATCCTCATCCAATGATCCTAGTGAATGACACTTGACAGGGCACTTTTCAGCTGCCTCTTACCTGCTGTGACATGACCTGAGAAAGCCACAAGCCCTTCCATATGGGAAAGACTGGCTGTGGCAGGTCTCAGGGTCTATGAGCTGGGTTTGCTCCTTCCTCCAGGAGGGATTGTCTTCCTGGCTCTGAGGAGCAGGAAGATTCTGAACCCTGTTCACTGGTGCAGGGCCTAACCTTGGACCGCATGGAGGAATGCTTACCTTGCTCATTGTGCAGCAGGGAAGTCCTAACATAGAACACTATTTTTGTGGGACAAGGTGCTGTAGAACACTGGCAAGCACAATTTCCTTATTCCTTTGACAAAAAGTTATTCCCCTGTTGGTGCAGGGTCGGGTATGTGGTAGTTTCTGGACTCTTGGTGTCTTGACTTCTATAAGATGATATGTATGTATCACCCCTGGCCTATCATGACTTTTATATGTAGATTGGCACACACCTGCTATAAAAGCAATAAAGCAGATGCTGTTCTCTGAAACCGTCTCCAGAGGGGTTTCTCTGTGCCCTCAAGCTCCCCACAATCAATGTTGGAGGGTCAAGCCCCCCAGCAGATCACCAAAAGGATATTTGCTAAGCAGACCCAGCCCACTGATTCGGGAGTTGCCGAGAACAGTATTGAACTTGAATATGAGGCTCAGTGCTCTCTTACCTATATTTTCCCAGCCCGTCTCTTCTTCTTCAGCTTTCTCTGAGTAGAGCTCTAGCCAGAACTCTGCCACCTTTCCAATTCAAGCCCTAAGTTCCTTCTTACTTTCTGATCATGTGTCCCACAGCCACTGGCCAGGTGTAGTTTTGCACAATCAGCAGGGACCTAGAGAAGCCAGGGTCTGAGAAGCTCTCCTCCAGGACTTGGCTTGGTCTAACCTGCATTTAGAACACCATGGCTCCAGACATTCTGCTCCTAAGCCTGTTTCCCATTTCCCAGCTGTGGGATAATGCCTGGGTTTACACAGAATGTTCATGCTTATGATCACATCATAGATCATATGTGAGAAAACTGAGGCCTCAGTGGAGAGGTGATCTGTCCAGGGTCATGACCAATAAAGAGAAAAGAGAGAAGACTGTCCCATAGCTTCTGAGGCCCAGTGGCTAGAAATGGATTCTTCTTCACTTCTAGTCATCCCAGTGTCCCACTTTGCACTGCTTACTTCCCATAGCACTGCTTGGCCCCCTAACACGCAAGTCTCATATTTGAGGCACTTGGGGAGATGTAGGCAACTTTAGGCTACTCTGGGCTTTCTGGTAGGCCTCAAGGAATGTGAATGAGTCCCTTGCTGCTTCCATGAAGTTGGGCACTCTGATCCCTCCTTCTCCCACATGAAAATAACTTATTGAGGGCCCTGCACCTGCTTCCTTCCCTTCACCAAAACTTCTGTGAGAGTAATCCCCTGCCTCCAGGGGTAACCAAAGAACAGATGGGATAAAGTGCTCTATTCCCTGGCAGCTGGTAGTTTTGTCTTCCTGCACTTTGGCCCTTCTGGGATGGTCACTGCTGGATCATATTCACTGAACTCTGCCCTCAGCCTCCCCTACCCCTGGGGTATACACCTTCTCTACCACCAACGTCTGTTCAGATCTCACTTAATTAATCCACTTTCCTCAGAGCCAATTAATCCACTTTCCTCAGAGCCACCTCTCACGAGGCAGGGCAGGAGAGAGCTACTTTGTATGGTCTTTAGAGGCAGTGTAGACAGATTTTCACCACCTAGCATTTCCTACCAGCTCATCTCTGAAAAGATCAGGGTGTTTTTGTTGCTTTTAAAAATTATTCTTAACATTGTTTTTTTAGTGAAGGGAACTTACTTAAAAATTGACAAAATCCGCAAAAGAATAAAGCCCATAGGGGGCCCAGATTCCTCCTCCTCAATAAGTAGGGTGGGGTTGTCCCCTTGTCTGGTTCAGTTTCCCTCCCACAACTCCTCCTGAAGAAACCCTAAAATGGCCCCATCTTTTGTCTTCAGCCTGGAAATCCTCTTACCTGTGCCCCTTGCCTTGAAATTTGGGCTATTCCGCAGTGATTTGCAGGCTCCAGCAGGCATCAGAATCACCAGAAGCTAACGTGATTACGTAGATTCCTGGAACCCCTGACAGAGAGGTCTGACAATACCCGTCTCCTGTGAGGCTGAGGTTTTTCCACGGTGTCCAATGACTGAAGGGCTTTAGAGGCACTTGCAGTCATTGGAAATTCTGACCACCAGAGGGCGGAGCGGGCCAAGTTAAGCCGTCCCCCTTTGCTGTCTTTGTTCCTCCAGTCAGGTAGCTGTCAAGGACTCTCTGGTCAGAGCAGACAGGGGTGAACCCTGTTCAGGGGCAGGAGCTTCCATAAAGGAAGGAAGCCTGACAACAAGAAAGAGGCTCATAGATGGTACTGGGCCCCTGGCTGGGCCTTGGTCCTTGTTCACCTGGACTCCAGAGCTCAGAGAGACCAGGTCCAGGCCTGGAATCTGGGTCGACCTGTCCTGTTCTGGTGCGCTCTATTTACACAACCCTAAGCTACGTAAACATCTGTCCTTCGGATGGGAAAACAGAAATCCAGACAGAGGCAGATTTATTGGTAGCTGCTCTGCCTTACAGCCCAGGGCTGTCTTGCTAGGGCTGGGGGTAGGAGGTGGACCCCAGGAAGTTCACCTAYAAGTCAGCTCTGAGTGACCAGGGGACAGAACAGATGCTGCTGGCCAGGAATGGATACCGGCTGGCAGTACCCTGCTTCCGCAGCTGTGGGTAGCGGTGGTGATTCAGCTTTCCTCTGTGGCCGGAGGGGGCACCGCCCTGGGCTGGGAGAAGGGGGAGTATATTGAGAATAGGAGGGGTGAGGGAGTGGACTTAGGGGACCTTGTGACTTAGCCCTGTTGGATGCCAAGGCCCCACAAGATAATTATGGGCAGGGATGATGTAGGTCTGAGAATGGTCCTGGAATAGGGCCTGTGTGTCCCTCTTCAATATCCCACTCCTTTATGACAGCTTGGGAAGCTCTGGGGAATACCAGGTATATCCAGCACTACGTGTTGGTCTTTATGGGGGACTCTCCTTGGAGCTAGATGGAGAGGGTCCTGATCCCCACTGGTGGTGGGGCAGATAAGACTCCAACTAGGGGGACTCTAACCCACAGATGAGCAGACAGAGGTGGGAGGAGGAGGAGGAGCTGAAGCGGGCCTGCCAAGCCGRTCACCGGAGGATTGAGAGCCTAGGCGTGAGGGCGGGGCAAGACACACACACCCGGGCTCCAGAGGCGGGGCCTGACCCGGGATGATGCCGGGGGGCGAGGCCCAACTTTCCGGGTGGGGCGCGGGCGGAGGAGGTGGTGGAGGAGGCGGGGCCAAGGACGCGAGGCCGCGCCCAACTGGCTGGGCGGGACTGGAGCCGGGCGGGAGGCTCTCCTGGAGCCCCAGCCGCAGCCCCAGCCGCAGCCGGCGCAGCTCCGAGTCCGAGTCCGAGTCCGATTCCGAGCTRTAGCACCGGCCCTTTTGGAATCAAGCCGAGATCCCCGCCTGGCACCGGTCGGAGCGCAGGTTGGTGTGTCAACGCACATCCCGGGAATTATCGGAGGTAGCGAGGCACGACCACCCCCGGGTACCACACGGTGCGGAGCCAGGATTGCCCCTGACAGGCCTGGTCACAGCCGGAGCGCGCAGGAAGTCTGGGAGTCCCTAAAGGGCCTAGGCACTGAAGAGGAGAAAAGGAGAGGATTCCATCTAAGAGCATACCGTAGACTCGGTGCAGGGAGGACAGTGGAGACTTCATCCAGCACGGGGCAGAGGTGCTCGGAGCTCTGAGACCAGGCTCACGCTTGGCATCCCAGCAGCCACAACCTAGACTCTACCTTATCTGAGTCAGAACACAGATAGCCTAGCTTCCAGACCTCGGCTGGCCCAGGGGACCTTGCACACAGAAACCGTTCCCTCACCTGTTTGAGACTGGCACAGGGTACAAGGAACCAGAGTCTGGCCTGACTCAAAGTGAGGATCTCTGGTGGACCTGAGCTGCTCACTGGGGAGCCTGCCTCCTGCCCCATCTCCACTGGTGCGAATGTGCCGCTGCCCATTGGAACAACATGAAGGCAGGATGACCTCAGCGGAAGCAGTGGAAGTGACTGGAAGTGCTCGAGTGGCTGGATCCCCTGAGTGGCCCCCTGGCAGCCCCCAGGTCCTCCGGCAACCTGGCCGGGTCCGGGTGGCTGTGGCAGGATTGGTGTGGCTGCTGGCAGGAGCCAGCATGTCAAGCCTCAACAAGTGGATTTTCACAGTGCATGGCTTCGGGCGGCCCCTGTTGCTCTCAGCGCTGCACATGCTGGCGGCAGCACTAGCATGCCACTGGGGGGCACGACGCGGGATGCCTGGGAGCACCCGCCTACGAGTGCTGCTGCTCAGCCTCACCTTTGGCACATCCATGGCCTGTGGCAATGTGGGTCTGAGCACTGTGCCCTTGGACCTGGCTCAGCTGGCTACTACCACCACACCACTGTTCACAATGGCCCTGTCTGCGCTGCTGCTGGGACGTCGCCACCATCCACTACAGTTTGCTGCCATGGGTCCACTCTGCCTGGGGGCAGCCTGCAGCCTGGCTGGAGAGTTCTGGGCACCCCCTGCTGGCTGTGGCTTCTTGCTGGCAGCCACCTGCCTCCGAGGTCTCAAGTCTGTTCAGCAGAGTAAGTTCATATGGGGAAGTGGGAATTAGGGTGGGTGTGGTCTGGATGTCCCTGTGAAGGGTGTGACCGTGTGACCGTTATCCCATTTTATAGATGAGGAAACTGAGGCTCAGAGAGGAACAAAAGCTAAGTGATTTCAGGCTCTGGAGGCTTAGCTAATATTCAGTAATAATTGCCAATGATATGTCTTACATGGCTCATTAAATCTTTTGTCTCTCTGAATCCCCACACCGCCCCATCAAGGCAGGTACCATATTGTCTCTGTTTAATAGAGACCTTGCTATGGACCATGATATGTCAGTGAGCAGCAGAGGTAAGATTTGAACCCAGAATCCATGCTGGGGGAGTCAGGTGACAGTCAGCTGACCAGAAAGAGACCAAAAAGTGTGGAACAGGGAGAGAAAGAAAAAGATGGCAGGTCTTGAGCTGGATTTGGAAGACAGGGTTTGAACAAGTCTAGGAAATGCTGATGTTTTGTGGGAGCTGTGTTATAGGCCTGGTGCTAGGTGTTAACCCTCAGTTATCATAGCAACTACTGCCTTCATCCCCATTTTACAAGTGGTAGGACTGAGACACAAAGAAGTTTATGTGACCCAGGGTCACACATTTCCTAAACATAGCTCCTACCTAATTTGTGCCCTGGCCTCCCTTAGGTGTCCCACTTGGGTAGGAAGTTCTGGGTATCACCTATGTCTTTGCTCATACTTTCTGGGTAACTTTGGGCAAGTCTAGATCTTCTCTGGGTCAGAGGAGGAGGGTCAGAGTTGATAGAGTCCCATGCGCCTCTTATTCTCCCTCCCTCCCAGTTTGGAGGTCCTGTGAAGAGACCCAGACTCAGGCCTGGGAAAGAGAATGGCTGTGGTAGGGGTAGAGGAGTGTTAGAGGGTAGTTTCCAGGGTTGGTGGATTAGGGTTTGGGACAACCTAAGCCTGGGGCAGTTTGAATCAGAGCTAAGCCCTGCCCTGGAATCTTTGGAGCCGGGACCCAGAGGTCCTGTCCCCATTCTCCCAGGCCTTGAGGCAAGGCCAAAGCCCAGTTCTATTTTTGCCCTCAGGTTACATGAGCTGGGTACTGAAGTTGGGCATGAGCTTTGGGCATAAGTTGGCTCTGGGAAACCTGACCCTCTGAGGCCCTCCTGGGCAGGGCCACAAGGCTGGGAAGGTCCTAGCCTCAAGGCCCACTGAGAAGGGCTGGGGATGTGGCTCAAGCGGTAGCGCGCTCGCCTGGCATGCGTGCGGCCTGGGTTCGATCCTCAGCACCACATACCAACAAAGATGTTGCGTCCGCCGATAACTAAAAAATAAATATTAAAAAATTTAAAAAATAAATAAATAAAAATAATAGTTGAAG